ATGCGGGCAAAGTTAATCCTTCAAAGGGTAAGAAGTGGGGGCATATCTATGAAAGCAATTCTCAATCAACCAAGTGCAATGACAGATGAAAGTGCTTTAGAACCCAAGCAATAGATTAGAATGTGCCAGGGAAGGATAGGGGAGGGTACTATCTATAAGATTTGAGTCACATTAAAGACCCAAATTTAAATGGAGCTCTTTTTTAATATCTATAAATATCTAGGAAACTAAAGAATCTGTCTTCAGGATTTGTGGGACTTTTATCATTGCACAGTTACAGGTTTAGAGAGAAAAATTGTTTCATGTTTATGCCCCAAAGAGTAATTACAATGAGAATTACATCCTAGAGAAAACTGCATGTTGACAGCAGGGAGACCAATATGCCCAGGCCCAAGGCTGCACATAAGACCAAAGAAGAAAGATGAAGTCTTGAAAGTGTCTACCCCTAGAGCTCTATGTGGAGCAAATTAGGGAAGATCAAGGTGGGAACTAACCTGGGAAGGCCAAGGAAATTACCAACAACAGAGCTGGAGGGCTCCCCCCACTAGTTCTAATTGACAACAGTAAGGGACAAAATAGGTTGACTGAGTTTAAAGGCACAGTGCTAATGCACATTCCTGGAGCCACTGGGGGTCTGCTGGGTCTTACCTTAGTGGAGATAACATTATCTTTAAAAATTATTATTGCCTCCCAGTTACTTCCTGCTTCTCTGGTTGCCTCTGTTACCATGAAGTAAAAAGTTAAGTCCCATTGTGCTTCCTTCCCATGTGGTGAGAAGGTGATGTAGGGAGGGGCTTTCATCCCTGCATTGACGCCGGAAGTCCAAGCCAAACAGGTAGCTCTGAAAACTCTTTGTCAGTTCTAAAGAGGGTGAGCAGGACTCATCCCCTTTAGGCTAAACAGCTGTGCAACTGCCACAGGCATTTGCTAAGGCTTTCAGAATAAAGTAAGAATAGTGTGATAGTGTTAGACCTCACACTAGAAAGCTGTTCCCACCCCTACACACACACAGACAGACACAGACAGCAGACACACAGACAGACACACACACACACACACACACACCACACCACACCACACCACAACACACAGCAGCAGCTTCTTTCCAAGAGAATAGCCTACAAAGAATCAACTCTGTGGGTGATTCCAAAGTGATCCTGTACACTGGCAAAAACTCCTGAGACAAGCTATGCAGGTGCCTGAGATGTTGCCAGCCAGCCCTGACCATAGGAAAGGAAGTATGGGAACTCTTATAGCTGCTAACAATCTCAACACGCCCTGAACAAAACCCCACCCTAGGGCAACTCTTCACTACCCTCCAGTGCACCACATCTGCAAAACAGTCATCAGGCTTGCCTCCCTTGGGATGGAATGTCATCAGGAGGGGTGTGCAGCTGAGTACATCCTGCCACAGGATGCCCTCAGAGAAAATGGCCATGCAACAGCAAAAGAGGAGGCGCTTGCTTTTCAAGTGAGTTGCATCCGAGAAATGCCAGCCTTCCACCATCTGCGATGCCCTGGGGTAAGTTGTGATGTCAATCAAGATGAATTCAGCTAGAGGGCAGTTACTAGTGCACCTGGAAGGAACATCAATCCCAGGTGGTCATTTGTCACCTCTCTCCCAAAATATACTCTCAGAACAAGAGAAGACCCAGGTTCTCAAATACTCCCCTCGCTCACAGATCATCCTCCTACCCCACTCAAATTTCCAAACTTTTATATAACATCCAATTAAAAAGTAATTTAGAAAAAACAAAAGCTTAAGAAAGTCCCCCCAAAAAAATATCACCCTTACTATATTACCCAGACTGGCCAATGGATTTGCTGCCTCAGTTTTATATTAGGTTAATTATGAGTAAACACATGTGTGCATAATATAATAAAATTAAAACATAGAAAAAGCGGGTCTACATTGGTAGAAGCTGGGGAATCAGTTGCTTGGGTATAAATCCTAGTCCTATCTCTAGCTGCAAGTGGGTATGCTCTACTAGGTAAATGGTTGTTCAGGAAGTTGTTAAGAAATAGACTAAGGGGCTGGAGAGAGAGATCAGTGATTGAGAGAACATACTGTTCTTACCAAGAATTGGTACTTGGCTCCCAGTTCCATGTCTCCATATCCAGGAGCTTCAACAACTCCTGGTTTCCATGGGCACCTGCACTCATGTGCACAAAGCAACACACAGACATACTCACACATACACACAGCTAACGAAGTCTTTTTAAATGGCAGAGTAAATAATATAGGTCAAATTTACGTGGTGGGACCTAGCACATATAGAGTGAACACCTGAAAGTTGCATGTTGGTGTTATCAGTTGCATTTTTCTGTTTTATACAATATGCAAGATTTTGCTTTTCCGTGTTGCCTGTGAAGCCCTCTATAGGAATTGTCACTGCTCATGTGTCCCAGACAACACAGAAGTGTCTGCTTTGATACCACTCTCAAAAGAAGGCAATGACATTGCCAGTACCTTCCTGCAAGAGGTTGATGAGACAGCATGGCAGGGGCCAGCTTGAATACCTGAAGGGGCAAGGGAAGGTTGTCGAGGTCTCAGCCGTGCCAGCCTCACAGCTGTCCTCAATTACCACAAACAGATGTTGGCAGCTCAACTCATTAGGAATGCAATCCAATCACCTTGGCAGTCGCATCCTCTTATTGGAAACTCTGGAGACGAAGTTCCCAGTCCCCGATTCCAGCAGCCATGTCAGTGAAGGTCATTTTCCAAGCAAAGACTTCATGTGGCAAATCTCCACAGGGACGAGAGCAGTAATTCTCAAGCAGGGTTGACTGAACTCCCCCCACACGATGTTTGGCAAAGACTAGAGAAGTGTTTTGGGTGTCGAACCCTGAAGGAAGAAATGGGTGCTACTGGTATGGGTCAGATAGCCCCTTGATGCTGCTAAATCGTCCATAAGGCACAGAATGGCAACCCCACCAAAACAATAAATAAAAGAAAATGCAATGAGTGACATCTACCCCTAAATGTCACCAGTGCTGAGATTAAAAAAAAATAACAAACAAAAAAAAACTTAGTTGGAGGGAGCCCACATAAGTTAAGTACAGACTTAGATTAGAGGAAGTGTCTGGTCTGAATGGACTGGGAAGTGTTGGGAGTCTGTAGCCGAGATCAGACATGAGCAGATGGGTTGTATCCTTAAGTAAGTATAATGATATGCATTTTCCTCAGAGTGAGTAGAGAGGAAAAAGCAGTTAGAGGATGCACACTTCCTAAATAGGAGCTACTACAGTAATCATCCCAACTCTATATCACCTAGAGGACAATGAGCCCTGTGGGAACCTCAGACTTAGACAATCTAATGTCCCACTGAAGGGGATATGTAGTTCCTCCTGGTGCTATGTGGATAATTAGTTGTCATTCTTCACAACAATTCTAGCCCAGCATTCCTCAGTCCCCCTTTCCCTGCCTACCTGACCCTGCCTCCTTCTCATCTTCTGCCAATCTTTGCTTGCTTCCTTCCTTTATCAGAATCTCGATGCTCTAGCTCACAGTTCTGTACCCATGGCCCAGTGCGGTGTCTGTCACACTAGATAGAAGGCAAACACCTGCTGGATGGTGTCTGATGGAATAAGGCAATGAATAAACCCATGTGGATCTTGCCCTGGTTCAATTGTTTGGTTTTCATTGCACCCAAAGCTTCTAGTTGAAAACTCTTCTAGTTTACAATATGCCAAGGCACTTTTAAATCGGACCGTTTATCTTTAAGATAGGAGCTATTGGACTTGTTCATGAATCAGGACAGAAAGCCTGGAGAAGATTGCAAAAGCCCTCAATTGTGCTGTTTGAAGAGCAGAGGCAAAAACGAAGCCGGGGCCTAACTTGAGAATCCTCTGCCTTTGTCATGGAGTACACTAATCACATGTCTAGAAGGTACATGTATGCCTGTGGTCAAAGCTCCCATTGAGCTGATAAGCCAAGGTATGAACCATTTGAAATCAATAGCGTGTAGTCACAAGGCAACTTCCCAGCAGTGCTTGGAGAAGTGTTTCCAACTGCAAAAATGCAGAGAGAACTCGAGTCAAGAAAATGGAAAGAGGTGAGATTCCTCTGGAAAATGTTTGCTGCAGCTAATTCTGGTCATGGGCATTGAAGTGAACTTGGCAGGGTTTGAGTGACAGTTCCAGCTTCCCCTGATGAACTGGTCAAAGCTACTGACAATGCCTGAATCAAGGCTGTCATCAATTCAATGCTTATACCTAGTTACTGTGTAACCAGCAAAGGGGTGGCAGCATCAGTTAAACTTATAGGTGATTTGGAAGCCAGGTTATGACAGCCATCCTAATTTCTGAGATGCTAAGATGTATAAAGTTAAGCCTATTAAGACCATGATACATTGAACATAATCTCTTGAAACATCAGTTTTCTTACCTACAGACCAGGGTTATAATGCTCAAGCCACATGGTTATTATAGACAGGTCCACCTGAAACATTTGCGGGACCCAGGGCAAGAATACCAACAGATGCTCACTTACCACATATTTATATTTATAAATTACCAAGTCAAGTCAATAAACTATGAAGAGATTAACCTCTTATCTAGACAAATACATCTTTATACCAACCTGAAGGCCAGACTCAGATTAAAGATCTCCAGGGCCTCAAAGTTGTATGCTAGCACATGATAGCACTGGCAGTGCTGGCCTTGCTCCTGCCTGCTTCACCTTCAACTATCATTTCTGTTTTTGAACTGTTTGAGACCTCACACATCTACAAATGGCCAACTTGGTCCAAGACTTTACTACAGATGCTTCCAACCTACAAACAACTGTTTATTAGTTGCTCCTTGGGCCTGCAGATATACAGTCTTACTCTGGCCAAGAAACTCAGGCAAGTCACAAACAAGAGTATTTGGACAAAGAATTCCAGAGGTCCTCTAACTGGATGGAGGTATAGGCTTGGCATGAATAGACTGAAGACCTCTGGATGCATGGTGTTGGATACAGGTAAAGAAAAGCAGTTAGTTACTGAAGCTAACCTTACCTTATTTCCAAATTGGATGGGCTCAGATGATAATAATAGGGCATAGCTTGTCAGCAACCAGTGTCTAGTTGAAGCTCTGCACCACAGGAAAAGAAAATGAGAAACTACACAGATCCCATGGATATATCAGCAACTACATATTAGCACCTGTAGCATGACAGAAAGATGGAAGGTTATGGGAATACAAGAAAGGAAAGGGCCCCTCCTTCATACAGTCTTGGATCTGACTGACCTCTCTCGCTTACTCAATCAAGAGTTTCAACATAGGGGGATAGAGATATGCTTCTAGAGAGATGTTCCATAGTTAAGAGCACATACTCTTTTGCAGAAGACCCAAGATCAGCAGCCCTCATGATCTGATTCAATGAGAAAGGGTTTCTCTGTGTAGACCTGACTGTCCTAGAACTCACTCTATAGACCAGACTGGTCTCAAACTCAGAGATCTGCCTGCCCCTGCCTGAGTGTTGGCTTTAAAGATATGTGCCACAACCTGTCATAACTAAGGGTATACAGCATCTGGCTTTGCTCATTGAGACCCATACACAATTGTTTTAGTAAAAGATGTTCACCATAGGGGCTAAGGAGATGACTCAGTGGGTATGTGTACCTACTGTACAAGCATGAAGACACCAATGCAATTCCCAGCACACACATCAAAAACAAACGAAACAAAAAACCTTGTGCAGTCTCATATCGCATGTGCCTATAATCACATCATGGAGACGGATGAAGACAGTAAACTCACTAGAACTTGCTGTCCTGCCAATCTAGCTGATCAGTGAGTCCCAGGTTCAGTGTGAGATCTGTCTCAAAGGAATGGGGTGGAGAGTGATTGGGCATAACACCTACCATCTTCCTCTGGCATCTACATACATTCAGGGACATGCACGTTCACATATACACATATGCATACAACACACATACTTTTTAATTTTTTCATACTTTTTAATTTTTTTTTTTTTTGGTTTTTACGAGACAGGGTTTCTCTGTATTGTTTTGGAGGCTATCGGTCCAGCCCGGCCTCGAACTCACAGAGATCCGCCTGCCTCTGCCTCCCGAGTGCTGGGATTAAAGGCGTGCGCCACCACCGCCCGGCTACTTTTTAATTTTTAAGGAAAAAGAATTACCACATAGCCAATGGGAAGCCCCTCTACACATAAACTGCATCCCCTTTCTAGAATAACACAAACAAAACTAGCATAGCAGTCAGTGAACCATGCTTGGGCAAAAGTCATATGTCATAACCTCTTTGTATGACCTAGCTATAGCAAAATTATTTTGATTTTTTTATTTTACCCATAGTTTGTCCTAATTATATTTCTTCCTCAAATATAAACCTGCCCAGTACCCTTATTCTCAAATGTCATTTAAAGAAAAAAACTTTCAGTAAGGAAATGAGCATACTGAAATATTTTTCCTCTGTTTCCTCAATCGTATACATCACTTCCTTTTACACAGTGTAACTCCAGAAGCCCCTGAGTTGCTTACACAGCTGTTACTGAGGTGCTGTGGTGAATTCCCCCCTTGTCATCAGCCCTGGCACTCTCCAAATGCAGTGTGGTGGTCCTTCCTCCTAATCAATAAATTCACTAATTTTGCTTCACCAAGCCTTCCTAAAACTCTTTTGGGTAACATTAAAAACCACGGCTGTCCCCAAGTAGAGAGACTGCCAAGGTTCTGAGGGGGGGCTCATCAGGCTTCACAGCCATGGATGCCGAGCTGAGTTCCCCGCTGCTGGTCGCACACATATGTGACCTATGGAGAGTACACATTCTCCATCTGTGTTTTTATTTAATTAGGCGAACTGAAGATAAGTCTAAAAAGGAGATTTTGTTCAGACCTGGGAGGTCCTGGCTTGGCATCCAGGACCTCTCATTCACCTGGGAGGCACCACCTTAAGAGCACAGCACTTGGGGAATGAAGATGAGCCCTGTCAAGGACTCAATCCAGCAACACAGTTCCCAGAGTATGTAAACAGTGGAGACCTCAACCAAGATTTTGGTGGTGAAAACGAAAACCAAACTATGGCAGGGAAAGGAATTTTAGAGCATGAATAATTGTAGGCCTTGAAAGGTACGAGGATTAAAAAAAATGATGAAACTACATTTTCTTGGGGGGCTAAGAACAGAAAAGTACTACAGGCAGAAATGGGGACATTTTGAGGAAACCTGGTTTTCAAGGAAGAAGATAAAGTCAGCTGGCTTGAAGTGATAAGTGCATAGTCTAGGTGTTCAAAGTCATTCAGTGAATGTGCTAGATAGTTCCTCTTTCTCCGCCCCTGCCTGCCTCTAGCGTCCTCCAGAAATCGTCCCTATTGGCACCACCACAGTGTCCCTGGAAGCAGAGAGACCATTCTTTTAATTCCATAATCTCCAACTAGACATTATTTTTCAGTCTGTCAGTAAAGCCAGTCATTAGTGTATTACCAGGAAAACTACTCTTTTATGATACTCCTAAAGTTTAAACTAGGTTTTAGGGCCCACACTAATAAAATGGATGCATAATATTTGCTTATCTCCCCACCCTGCCCTTGTACCAGCACCTGGAAATTCTGGGTAGTATAACAGTGTCGTTCCTGAACTTTTCAAAAACCAGAACCAGAAACTAGAAAACTCTAATACAACAGTGCCATCTAGTGAGTGACCTGTTTCTTTGCAAAAAAAAAAAAATGCATAGGCACAAGCAGACAAACAGGACCAATACAAATCATCAGGCTTCAAAATAACCCTCGCATGTCAGGTTAGACTGTCATGTTTGGGAAGAAATCTTCACGTACCTCATATAAATAAGAGAAATTGGTGTTGAGTCTGTCTGTGGTTTTTCTAGAGTCAAATGTTAGAATACTGGAACCTAACACTGATTAATGATAGGGTCATCAATAGATTCTAATCTCCTGGGGCTGAGCTCAATATCTTCTCTGTGATCCTGCTTTGATGAAGCTGTAGCTCAAACTGAAAGACCACACACCTGTCCTAGACTATGCACAGTGCCTGGGTAAGAGTGTCCACTCATGGGAAGTACAGTCTGAAGGAGGCATTTTAGGGAAAAACATTGAGTTTAATTAACATTAGTTCTTGTCTACTCCGTTCCTTGCCTTTATCTACATGTTTCCCCAAAGGAGAATGAGAGACTCGCCGAACTTCTTTGAAACCAAGCATTCACATTTTCCGTCAACAAATGTTGAGTGCATGTGCTGAGTACCATTTCAGGTCCAAAAGATGAACGAAGTTCCTTCATGATGAAACAAATGCAATAAGAAGGACTCTTAGTAGGAAAATAACACTCAATCATGGCATGAGAAATCGTGGTCTGATTTAGCTATGAGAGAGTAGAGCACCTCTCGGAATAAACTTTTATTTCACTAAAAGAAGATCAAGAACAAATACTGACACTGAGGAACATTCTCACTACTTACCTAGCTGTTTGTTGCCTAACAGAGTCCCCTCATAAAGGTAGGAGCTGTCTGAAGTAAAGGAGAGGTGTTTGCCTGCCCAATCCAGCATCTTACCCCCTCGGCCATGGCCCCCTTACCAGCATCCTATGCCTCAACCACAATCCCAATGCCAGCATCCTATCCTCTGGGTCAACCCCACAGCAGTCATATGACCCCAGCAACCCTACCATCTCCATTCAAAGTCCAGGTTCCATTTCAGGGCTTAACCACACTGACAGATGGAAAGTACTAAACTAAGCGTGTCCTCTAGCTTTCCCCCTCCTCTTCACACCCAGTTTCCCAAAGAGACCTTGAAGCCTTTCCTCAGGATGGATCCATGTCCTTAATAAGATGGCAGCACTGTCCATGTTCTGCTATGTCTTCTTTAGGATTTGTTGCCCATCATGTGGGCCTGCTTCTCCTTGCATTCTTCCCCGAACTTCCCATTACCCAAATCTCAGCTGCCTGCCAAGATCTACCAGCCTGTTTGTGTCTCCAAAATCCTACATTACAGTATCCAAAAAAATTACTCTTTTCTCAGAAATTTTTATTTCAAGCCTCTATAATCCCACACTCTTGCTGGATGGTATAAGTTAAGCAGATTTCTTTTTGAAGAGTTTCCCAGAGTCCTCAATATTCCAATAAGAGTATAAAATTATAATATAGTGCCTGCTATGTTTCACAAAATTATTTGACCATAGAAATGCTGCTCTGTCATTTTTCATGGTAATTCTCTTTACAAAAAGTCTAATTTTAGATCTATCTGTGCCTGCTCTTACTTCAGACCTTCCCAGGACCTTGTTATCTTATGATGCTTTTTCTACTGCATCAAAGCCTTGGTCTGCTTTGATGACATAGCCAAATGACTAACACTATCCTGTCTTTCAACTCTCCACTCTGCAGATGCATATACCACAGCCTCCAGAACACTTTGGCACCATTCATTTATTTTGTGGTTTTTCTCTTTTTGCTTTATCACGGACCCCTGTAGAACATGAATCTTGTCTTACATGAGAGTTTCCAGGGCCAGTCTTTGGGGCTTGCACGTGTGGCACACAATGCTAATGCAGGAAAGGAAGACAACAGGGAACAAGTTGAGAGCAGAGTGAATCCTGAGTAGAAAACATATAGCCCAAACTAATGAAGATGACTCAGTCCATAATGTACTTACATAGCACTTGCCTCACAAGTATGGGGACCTTAATTTGACACACACACACCAGTACCCACAGCAAAAAGCCAAGCATGCTGGCATGCCTGTAGCCCCGGTACTAAGAAGGTAGAGACAAGAGGTACTCTGGAATATGCTGAGCAGTCAGTAATTCAGATTAAACCAATTCTATCGAATACTTAGGTATAAAGATATGCCAAATAGCCTCAAATAAGACACAAGCATATTTGTAGCTGCTCAAAAACTCTAACCATTAGGGAAACGCACATTATAAAATAAGAAAACTAAAACCAGACCTAACTTGGAATTCAAGCAAAAAATAATATTTTTTTAAAAAGGAGACACTGAATATTACAATCACTTAGTAAAGTCACGCTAGCTGTCTGGTTATCAAAATGCGAGTCGCTTCCGTAATTGTTTCTACTGTTAATAAATTCCATCCAGTTCGAGTAAGGCTATCAACATGCTAATG